ACAAACACTATGTTAACAATTGGCTAAACCCATACTAAACTGGTGAATGCACTTACACTTACAATTATGAACCCATAAGGTTAGCCACAATACGGCCGTGCTGGCCAACGTAAGTCTTGACATATCGCGCACCAACGATCAGGTTTGTTTCAGTTCCTCATGATTTCTGTATATATTCGTTCTCGTTCATGTGATTTATGTTTATGTTGGCTTCAGTGTTGTGCAAAATTATGACTATCCCTAGATCTGTGCTCATTCCATAATGCTCTATCTTCCAGGTGACCAAGATACGCGATCAATGTCAAATGCAGGAGGAAACCATCAATGAGCAGGAGGGTGAGCTTAACGCCAAGCGCTCGGAGCTGCAAAAGCTGAAGGATGAGGAGACGTCGCTGCAGAAGGAGTACGACGACAACAACCGGGAGCTGTCAAAGTTGACTAAGCACCTGCAGAACACTCAACTGCAGATCAGTTCGGTAAGATGAGCAAGTCATTGTTTTCAGAATATCTTTTAATCCACATCTATACGCCTTGAAGGTTCGTTCAATGGTCACCCAACTGATGGAGACGCAGCGTCAGATGACCGACGCCTTGCTCATCTGCCGGGCGGCCATGGAGAACCAGAACGCGGAGCTAGTGTCTGAATATCAACTAAAGATTGAACCGGACTTTGACGAAGCGCGCATGACAATGAACAAGGAGGTGGTAATGCCCACGGATGATCCCTTCGAGGAGAATAACAGCGGTGCGGCCAATCAGGCCACTAATGGCTTTGCTAGCGATCCCTTCTCTGGCCAGCAGCAGGCCAGTAAGCCGGCCATCTCCACTGGCTTCGATGATAGCTTCAACATGAGCTCGGGCTTTGACAGTGGCTTCGATGCCTTTAATCAGAGTGGAACGGGTACAGGATTTGGACAGACGCAGCGAGATCCCTTCGGTTCGGATGCATTTGCCGCTAATAAGAGCAACGCTATCACGCCAGAGGTGATTTAAAATAGAGGTTTTATAAAGCTTATTAATTAATAAGATTCCAACTAAGCAGCCTGGTAAGGATGACTTCGGCAGCGATCCATTTGCAGCCCTGCATGCCCAACTGGCCAGGGCCAGTGCTCAGCCCCAACGCGCAAAAATCGGGTCCCCCGCCAGACCGGAGTCCCCTAGTCCAGCATTGCCGCCAAAGAAGTCAAAGGTGCCGCCCCGCGACCAGCGCCACCAAGAGCATCCCAGGTAATCGGGAAAGGAACAAATAAGAAAGAGTAAACTAACCGAATCTCTGTTACAGCCCACAAGCGGATTTGGCGGCAGCGGCGGCGGTGGATTCGCTGACTTTGAGGACTTTGACAATAAGGTGGGTACAACTTCACAATTCAGTGTCCGCTGGGATCGGTGGTAATGCATGCGCCCCGGCACCCGGCACCTCCCAAAGTCTGTTGTATAATCCCTGGTTTTACGTTAACGATTAACACTAACATTTCCTAAGTTTTTTTTGTTCGTAGAAATAAATCACTTTTGAATGCACCCTTTGTCAAGAGCGTAGATCTTGATTACTTTTTGATTTCGATTTGTATGCCTTTTGGTTTCTACCCCTCGTAGTGGTTTCGTAGTGGCACTCCAGTGATCAGTGATCAGTGATCATATTTCACCAACCAACCACAATTCACTCACCTTGCATTTACGTAGCTTTTGGTAGCCCTTTGCTTTTGGTGGCTGAAACTAACCGTCTCTCTCTCTGGTCTCTCATCTCTGCAATTCTCTATTTTCAGTGAACATCTTAAGATAACCCCATTCTATATACGATATAAATATATATACCAAGTACTAACACACATACTCAGTTAATGAATGGCCTCCTCCTCTAGCAGCATAACGAAACAAATCAATTTGAGCGTACAAAGCTACTCGCAGCAGCATCATATAATATATCAGTCACGGTGCATGGTATATATGTAATTACTAGAGGACGCAGCAGCATTATCTATCGTTCATGCCTAATTAGCTAAATGTACTAAATCAATTCAATCGAAACACTCAAACGACTCGAGAGAAAGAAATCAATTTCAAGCGTTACGTATCGTGTTAATTAAATGTAGTCATAAATCGGAAGGATACCCCAAACCCAACCCAAAACCAGGAGTTCTAATTCTAGTTCGATTCCAGACCCTTCGGGCAGTGTCAGTATTGTATTAACTTACTATTATTACTACTAGTTTGTTTTGTGAGGGCGAGAACTCTGTCAGGAATTTATTGCAAGTTGTTTGTTGTTTCTGCATATGCGAATACTAAAGTTTAAAGCAATTATACAGCCATACTAAATATATAAATATATATTATATACACACACAAGCATGAACTGCCGCTGGAGTTCGGACTGCCTTGCTGCCTGTCCACTACTACTATTTACCAAACAAACAAAACCCATTAGCCGTCAGCTACGTAGCGTCATTAAGGCATTGCCCCAGTTAGGCCAGGAGCTCTCACGCAACTCCAACTATATCACAGTACTTGTATGCATTAATATATGATTGTCAGACCTTGATTATTACCACACCGAAACTAACAAGCTTCCCGTGCATTGATTTTACCGAGAATAACATATTCCGAGCATATGACATTAAATACATATATACATAAATATAGAGAGGACAAGTTTTAGAGGGAAGCCTAACCGATACAAAAAAATGAATGTAACAAAAACAAAAAATAACGTTTTGCATTATTAATAAAGAAATATCTATGTTCGACATCATTCAACGTACCACCTGCGACTTGTCTGAGTTCTGGTCTGGACACAACCCACATCCCTCATCCCTAGGTGACTGCTTGAACGCTTTAGTTGACCTCGGTTTTGGTTTCGATTCCCTCCCCTTTTGGTTGTGTAATCTCTTGATTCCCCCCGTGCTTAATTTGATTCCGTTTTAATTTAATTTTGTTTCATTTCATTTCTATTCCCCAACCACGACACAACATGACGCACCCACACACAGCTTCACAACATTCCAAGCACCACCACGCCCCTGCCCTCGTTATCACCAGCGCCCCCGGTTCCCAGCGCGATTCCATTCTCCTCTGGAGCGTCGCTGCTTGACAGCTTCTCGCTATTTGACGATCCCGTTCAGAGGCGCAGCCAGGCTGCCAGCACGCCCACACCCACATCCACAGCAGCCACCCTCCATCCATTACTCCCGTCATCGTCATCCACGGCAGCTGTCTCAGCCGCAGCTGCGACCTCGGTATTAGCATCCGTATCAGCCTTAGGGGCAACGGCGGGATTGGGTGCCGTAACGCCAGGTAGCACCACTACCACCGCCTCCAGCTCAAATAACCAGCATTTGTCGCGTTCCAATACTCCGCTGCAGAGCTCGGCTCTGAGCCAAAGTCAGAGCAGGACGGGATCAGCCCTGGGAATGGGATCGAGCGTGTTCGATGCTTTGGAGCGGTGAATAGTAGCAGCAGCAGCAGCCAGCAGGCGGCCACTCCCAGCCTCATCACTGGACCCACCGATTTTAAAGATGATCCGTTTAAGGACTACCGTTACGAGGATCCCTTTAGCATCAAAGATCCCTTTGCAGACGATGATGAGGGGGATTTAGAAGGCCTAGGCAAGGGAACAAGTCAGAAGAAGAGCTTTGCGGAGGACTTTAGTTCGGAGGGTGAGTATAAACTCTTTTAATTTTCGAATACAACCCTCTAAAATGACCATCAAACCCGCAGATGAGGTGGGATCCGCAACCAAGACGCTGAGTAATATAATGAACAACAATAACAACAGTAAACCCAAGGCCCACACGCCCCTTAACAACGATCTGCTGCAGCAGTTTGACGCCTTCAATCTGAACTCGAGTCCAGCGCCCTCGCACCACTCGACCACATCTTCGCATCACTCCAGCACTAAGCCCCATAACCAGAAGTCCCAAACAGCGCTGGACGCATTCGCTGATTTCGATGACTTTGCAGCAACGGCAGGAACAGGAACGGGAATAGGAATAGGAAAAGGGGCTGGAACTGGAAAGAGCATAACCACTAGCAATACGAAACTCAACGATTCCTTCTTCGATGCATTTAATGACAACTTTGGTGTAAATCAGAATCCAACAGTGGCATCCATGGGAACAATCACCAAGCCCAGCGATCAAAAGGCTGCCTTCAATGACAACTTCGATGATAACTTTAAGGTAGGCAACTCCTCCAGCCAGCTGGACAATCATAACTTTGCCAAATTCGATGCCTTCGAGGCGCACAACTTCTCGAATGACTTTGGCAACAGCTCCTTTGGCAGCAGCGCCAAAGAGAGACAGAACGGGCACAGCAAGCCAAGAAGGAGCCGAGCAAGGACAAGTTCGAGGCGGACTACTCCAAGCCGGAGAGCTTCGATGCCGATCTGGAGGAGGCGCTCAAGCGCAGCATGGTGGATAACTAGAGTGTGCTCTGGAATAATAATGTGATGGATGGATCGATCCACCTGGAAATCTCCAATGACACATGCAATGTTCAGTCTCTCTGTCTATTCGACCCCGATCTATAGTGTTTAGTGCTTCTTTGTTCTCGCATCGATCAAAACTTATGGATAATCCAATACGATTACTTTTACTATGTACTCCTTTCTTCGTGCTCAAGGATCCCGGCGAATAGAGAGTTCCAACGGAGCCACTGCTACAATCTATATACAGATATATATATATATACTCGTAGAGCCTAATGCATATTACGATTTAACCTGTACCAAAACCCTATGAATAATAAACGAATGAAATAATAACATCATCTTAGCGAGAGGGTTACCTAAAGAGAGAGAAAGAGCTCCCCATCTCATCCATGGTGCACTTAAGCAAGGTGGCAAGAACTGCTCCCTTTTGAGCGCGGTATTCGTGTATTGTCTCCAACACAGCTGATGGGAGCCACCTTGCTTAGCTGTATCATGCTCTCTCACCCACACCAAAGCCGCTCTGTACATGTGTGCGTGGGGCCAATCGCAAACTAAAGCAAATGTCGCAGTTCTCGGTTTCATTTCTGTTCGTGAGTTTGCTGCGAGTGGTCATAGAAAACTGTGAGTTCGGTGGGAGTGAGCCAACCTGCTAGCTTTAAGTGTAATTGTGTGCGATTCTCCAGGGGATGCGCGAACTCAGCCAGCCCCTCCGACTATTAGAAAAAACCCACACACAGGCGCACAAATTGCTGCATTGGCACTATAAAAACAATTTGCCGGCGAGTGTAAACACACACACACACAGGCACGCATGCCCCGTGAGAGAGGCGCGATCCAGATGATTGTGTGTGTGCCGCTAATTACATTTATTTTGTAAACTTAATTTCCAAGATGTGTGGCCTGTGAGGGGACGAAGGGGACGGCGGAACAATAACATGGGCGGTTCGGAAAGGGGGCTGTGCAGACCCTCCCCCCTTTGCTGTTTCTTTGCCCTGCGGTGTTTGCCATGTATTAAGTGGCCTCCTTCCTGATAAGCAGCCCAGTTATCGTGCCATAGATCCGTGGGTTATCTGATATTTTTTTTTGTGGGTGCAAGTGTCGGTGTCCGCGTTGGTGTTGCCTTGGTGGTATGTGTAGTCTGGTGCAGGGTGTGTGAGTGCGGTTAGTGGGGCTCGGGGATCGGATCGAATCGCTCTTGTTGACACACCGTTTGCGGCAAGGGTAGCTCTAGGAGTTACTGGAATCAAAAAGCTCACTTTCAATCTGCCAGAAACCTTGGTACGCTAATACTTCACTTTAAACACTTAGTCGGGGAGATCTTCACGATATTAATTGTATCTTTATATCTTTGGAGATGCTTATATTATATCATTTAATTCTTATCATGAAATTACTCAACTCTGCAGCTTAGTTTATCTAAAAATTGTCTTAAAAGATTAATCCAGCCTCGAATATCGTGTAAAAAGAAAGCCAAAGATTAAATCTAAAATTGTCATAGGTTCAGAAAATGGTGAAATAGGTAAAACATAATCGTATGCTTTGTCTTTAAACCTGTTTCTCCCATGAATATTTTTGTTATAAATTAAACTTTGACCTCAGCTACCTTGGGATATATACTCAAACTACAGTTACAGTTGGTCAAAAACCTCAGAGAAAACCTCATTATATCGCCAACCTAATAATTTAACTTAATTACAATTTAACATTACTATCTTACATAATTTGATCCTCCAGATACCGTGATTCATCCACCATGTCGAAGCCAGCTTTGTATTACGCCACCCTCAGTCCCCATCCCGTGCCGTTCTGCTCACGGCCAAGGCGATCGGGCTCGACCTTGAACTGAGGTAGGTTCCCACACTAACATCCCAATCCAAAACGTTTAACTTAACTCAATTAACAACTGTCTCCCCACGTACCCAGGCCAATTAACCTGCTGAAGGGTGAGCATCTGACGCCGGAATTCCTCAAGCTGAACCCCCAGCACACGATCCCGACGCTGATCGATGGCGAGGCCACGATCATTGATTCGCACGCCATCTGCTCCTATCTGGTGGAGAAGTATGGCAAGGAGCAGCAGCAGCTCTACCCCAAGGATTTGGTGCAGCGCGCCAATGTGGATGCCCGTCTTCATCTGGACTCCGGCCACCTGTTCGCCCGCCTGCGCTTCCTGTACGAGCCGATTCTATACAATGGATCCACCGATTGCTCGATTGACAAGATTGCCTACGTCCAAAAGTGCTGGGAAATCCTGGAGGGTTTCCTCAAGGACCAGCCGTACCTGTGCGGCAGCGAGCTGACTATCGCAGACTTCTGCGCCGTGGCTACCGTAACATCGGTAAACGAAGTAGCTATCATTGACGAGTTCAAGTTCCCCAAGCTGAATGCCTGGCTGAAGCGTCTCGCCGAACTGCCGTACTACCAGGAGGTGAACGGTGAGGGCGCCGACGAGCTGAAGGCCATCTTCAAGGCCAAGCTGGCGGAAAATCGCGGCAAGTGAGCAGAGCAGCAGTATCTCTTAACCTTATCCACACACACGCACACTATATATTATCCACAAATAAAGAGCTCTAGTTTCAAAGTACGATTATAGGCGGTTATAGCGACTTTGATCGATCTTTTATTATGTGAACTTAACTTACATATAGCAACAATATACTTAGAGGTAATAGAAACGGAAATCGACTTCAGTGGGGACCAGGACCGAAACGCTAAAAGGCAGGGCAGCCGGAGAGGATCCCTCTCCGACCTCCAGCTGGAGCTGGACACATACAAAAACGACGGTGGCGAGGGTTATGTTTTAAAACATAGGTTCGTCGGGAGTACATGTATTGGTGTGCATTATTCGATCCCAAAAAATACAATAATTGTCTACAAAAAAAGTACAAGATATAAGCGCCTCCTAAAAGGGATCAGGGGTCAATGAACGGGCACTTCAGTGGCGCTGCAGGCGTATCAAATATATATATATATATGTATATATGTGGGTAAACAGGCTATCACGACCCAGGCTCATGCACACGCTCCCTCACACACGCATCTCTCATTCATACTTGCACACAGCGCGCTCATAGTCCGGATTCTAATCGCGGCGCAACAGGAATCTCTTGATGCTCTCCGGCAACGGCAGCTTGGTGATGGTGTTTGCCGTAAAGTGCTCTAGGATGACGTTGCGGCAGGCGGTCTGCAAGGACAAAACTGTCGGAGAAAAACGAATGCGTTTAAGAGGGAGAAAGTTAAATCAAAGCTGTTCCACTTACTGCCCTCCAGCTGGATGATTCTGATCTGTTTGGTGGTGCCGTAAACGTCAATGACGACGAACAGGGGCGACCTGTTGAGCGGAATGTCTCGAGAGACGGGGCCATGATCGACCCCGTTTATGATAAAGTGCAGCTCCCCCTTGGAGGCACTCTGCACCGTGGGCACGTAGATGATCCCGATGCGGGAGCCCCTGTCCGTGAGCAGAATGTCCGAGTCGTTGCCATTGCCCATCGAGGGGCGTAGCAGTCTCTTTGGTAGCAGGCCGCGTGGCGTTCGCACATGCGTAGCATCACCCAAAAGGTTTCCTAGGAAAAGCCAGAATTTAGTAAATAACGGGATTCCCTGCAAATTAAAGTGTTATCTTACTGTGTGGCTGGTCGCCCGTCTCCGGCTCAATTATGTCGTTCGGCTCCTGGCGCTGGTTCATTTCGAACTTGGAGATCGGGTAGATCCAGCTGTTGCCCAGATTGGCCAAATCGGGGAGCGCAAAGTGGGGCAGGCCCTCGCTGCTCGTGCGGATCACATTCGGGGTGAGTTCGGTGAGGCCCAGGCGCATGTGCCCGGACCAGCCGCGCTCGATCTTCTCGATCTCCACCAGGAAGATGTCGCCCGGCGCTAGCGGGCGCTCTGAGAACGTCAACGCATCGGCGAAGCTGGCCCGGCGGTAGGCGACGGTAGCATCGTCGCCCAGCTGTATATTGGAGCCATGGTACGGATGGAAGCGGCTTAGCTGGCGCTTGCGGCTGCTCAGAGTGGCACCACCGTTCCACAGCCCCAGAGGGTCAATATCCCCATCCGAATCGTCCTCCTGTTCAGCGTCGGCGACGGCGTCTGGTGCTGGTATGCGTTTGGCCGCCGCCGCCAGGTCACTGTCCTCGACGGCTTCCATGGGCCTGGTGCTCGGTGCTCCGTTTGGACTTGATGGCTTCCGCCCGCACGTTGCTTATTTACCGTTTTCGGGTATTTTTATTTGTTTGTCGACTTTTGTTGTTCTTGACCAGGGTTGGTAAACGGTGCAGGACACAAGAGTGTTGGCAAAAGTCGCGACTAGCGCGACGGCTAGTTCTGTGTTGGTAACCGGTCGTGATGTAACACCGCAACAGCTGTTTGGTCCGACTTGGTCTGAATATTGCGAGGCGAGAGATGTGAGTGAAACAAAACCAAAATGTGACTTAAAACCGAAACTAAAGTGATCGTTTTGGTTTCCAGATGCGAGTTCCCAGTGCCTTGTTTGCCGCCCGTGGCCGAGCCCCACAGAACGAGGCCGATGTGCCCTTCCAGGAGATTCTGCCGCTGCGGCTGAAGAACACGGTTAGCGGGAAGGCGGACTCCGGCAACGATGTGGCCTGCCTGCAGGAGATGGGCGTGCTCTTCGCCTGTCTGAAGGACAACGAGTTCGTGGAGAAGTACTGCCACAAGGAGATTAGCCAGTTCCAAAACTGTTTCAAGTGCTATATGGACCGCAAGTTTGAGGCCAAAAAGACGGTCAACCAGGGCATTGTGCAACCGGGAAACAACCTCAACTACAAGCAGCTGAACAAGTATATGCGCCGCTATCCCAATCCCCTCTAGCTCATAGCCTACTTGAGTCCGTTGAGTCGTTTATTAATACACTAAATATTTACAAAAACCCCTCTGTGAAATCGTCTCTTTTGCCGTATTCTCCCCCTCAGTAGACCACATCGGCGTCGCCTAGACCCGCCGAGGATTGGCTCACAGGCGAAGGCTGGCTCAGCACAAAATTGGAGGACATGGCACGCAAGAACTGCGGATGGGCGTGCGAGTGCGAATGCTGCTGCGGCTCATACAGGTCGGACAGGAGCGGCGGCTTTTCGCGCACGCGACTCAGAAGATCGGACATCTGGCGGGGCTTGGACACGGCGGGCGTCGGCAGGGCCAGGTTGATATGCAGCGGGTAGCCGCCGTGCTCCCAGGTATCGGCCAGAATCTGTAGGCTGCGGTTCGCCTCTAAGACGCGGGCACGCTGGAAGTTGAGCCGCTCCTGCTGCAGCTCTGACCATTGTTCCTGCAAAGTTAACAAGGAGTTTGTCTACGGATTCTGTTTTAGTCAAGGTAAGAGTAACTTACGTATCTGGTTCCCAGGCGACCGAAATACTTGATCTGCTCCTGAACGTTGAGTACCTGCTGCATGTACCAGTCCCGTGCCTTCTCTACTCCATCAAGACCGAAGAGCAGCAGCTCCCGTTGCTCCTCCAGCTGCTTCATCCGCTTCAGCATGTTGTAGTCGATGCCGTGCTGAAGGGTGTGCCTTCGCGACTCCCGCCGTTTGCTGCTCGACTTTTTGGGCAAAGCGGGCAGGGCTGCTAGGCTCCAATCGGTGGCCGAGGCGGAGGTGGACGAGGAGCCACCATCCGCTGAGCCGCGATGTTCGAACTGTTCCCTCGACTGCGGCAACTTCGGGATCTTACCCGCATCCGCCATCAAGTTGAGCTGCCAGTTCTGCAGGGCATGGCGTATGTCAGCTTTACCCAAAGCTGGTGGCGATGTTGTGGGCACCTGTCGCGGTGGCTTGGGTGGCGGTGCCGGCGAACTGTAATCCATCTCTGACGAAAGATTCCCCTGGGAACGGGGACGCATCTTTACCTCACCCAAAGCCTGCTGCTGATTGCGAAGTAGACACAGCTTCAGTCCGGCACAAAATCGCTCGAAGGAGAGGAGTCCGCTGGTGGGAGTGACGCGACGCAGTGAATCCAGGACGCCACGTGGTAATCCCTTGGAACCATCGTCCTGCCAGCCTTTCTCGATGTCCGTGTAGCGCACATAGCCGCTCTGCTTGTCGTCGAGGATGTCAAATAGCTTCTTCATGGAGAGCACAAACTGCTTGGGCAGGGCGTCCATGTCTAGTGATTGCGGCTGAGGCTGAGCCGCCAGGCTGGGATTGCCTCCTCCTCCACCTCCTACACCATCGCTGAGGCTGAGGTTGAGCAGACTGGTACTGGTGATGTTCTGGCGGAGCATCTTGATCTGCACAATGGAAAGTGGAGTTGGGATTATGGATGTTTGTCCCACGCTTGGTCCCAATGCATAATTGAATATTCATGGGAGCTCATTTGCATGGCAGAGTCCAAAATGGAATGTGTGTGAATTTGGCACGCTTGGTTTTAAGATGAGACATCTTGGGAGAATCGAGAAGATGTGACAAAACGAAAGACTTAGGCCACAAACTTGGATTGAGCCTGGACTTATTTTCGACTTGGAATTTTTATTGAATTTACTTATTATCAGGTTTTGTTTATTAATCAATATTTGGTTTTATCTAATCGTTTGAATTCTTTTAACCCAGAAAAGAGTATTTATTCGCCTTAGAAAATGTAGAGGAAGACTACAAGTTCTTTAAAGGCTCTAATAATTGATTTAATTATTATTTTAAGCTTTAATTAAACCTTTTTGTGTTTTTTCTATATCTTTATCAACAAATTACTCTATATTTACCTATTCATGCAAGACAAAAACCCCAATTGCTAAAGATTTAAAATTGAAACCTGCATCTTAGCATTTATTATTCATGTTTTGTTTATAAACAAAAACTTAATCCCATTGAATTTGTTGACTTACCCAAGCTATGCGGAAATGTTACAACAACTCCTGAAATCCAAATCGAATCCAGTTCTTCCGAGCGGTTCTTTTGAGGCCGTTCGTCAAGGCTTCTGCGCCAGCTTTGCACCTATTTTGATGGCCTGTGCCGATGCCATCCAATCCACTCCAATCCGCTGTGTATGTAATGCAGCTTGGCTCGGTTCCCCCGACACACGAAACACCCAAACCCAACCAACTGGTTATATTGACTGCACACTAGAGCCGCCGCTCGTGTCTTAAGACTCTCCAGTCTCGGGTCTCGCACGCATGCGCAACTTGCGCGACTGGTTTCTGTGGCTTTTTCGGTGGATCTTTCAGCGCGCAACCCACACACAGATACACACGAGGAGAGGTACGGACTGCCAGGAGGAGGCTCGTACCCATACTCTGGCCTAGCCCAAATCCCAGCGAGAGAGTAGAAGAAAAAAAATAAAAGAGAGCATCGGTTGCCCGATTTTAGGGAGAAGTATTATGTTTATTAGTAGAAATTCAATGCGCTTGGCTTAATCAGTCGAAAGAGGGAGCTAATTGCCTAGGTTAATAATATATCTGGTAGATGTATCTGTGTTGCAGGAACTGCAAACTCTACGCGATCCGAGTTTCATCTCAAGAGGATCACTAGAATGAGCATTTCATCTCAATTGTTTTATGTATGTTACTAGGTGCTAGGATTTAAGCTTATGCTAAGGATTCCGCTGATGCAGTTCGAGTAAAGCCTCACAAATCGGCCACCGACTTCCGGCGAACGTACTTGGCAAAGTAATCCGGACGCCAGCACTTGCAGGAGCCGGGAATAAGGAACCAGTCGTAGTACAGACGCACCTGGAAGCAGCCAAGCTCATCGTTACCATCGCAGTGGGCATCCGCGGCCGCCGACGAGCCGGAGCCGCCCGAGGAGGTGCCATCGGAGGCGGTGGCCACGCCGGCTCGCTTCTGCAGATACTGCTGGTAGGCCTGGAAGTCCTGCACCGAGGGTGTCTGCGTAGTGGTCGAACTGATGGGCACTGTGTCCTCGGCATTCGGATAGAAGATCTCGGCCACAAGCAGGCTCACCCAGCGCGGCGACGACAGACAGCCGCCGTCCAAGTAGTGACAGCGTGCCTGGATGCAGCGCGTCACCTCCACCGTCTGAGTAAAGTAGCCCTCGTAGGGAATCTGCACCACATAGCGCCAGGCTCCCTGATAGTTCTTGGCAAAGACAGGCGTGGCATACTCCACCTTGGCGGGACAGGGAGTGGGCGGACCCTCGTACCGAATGGGACCCACTTCCTCGCGACGCTCCGCTGTGGGCGTGGCTTGGGCAGAGCCACCGGTGTCTCCTTGGATGGCCCTATACAGAGTGCAGAATCTGTCGGAGATACATATATAAAGATTATTGAGCTGAGGTGAAAGAATTTCGAGGAATGCCGGTTTCCAGCATTTTTAAAATTTTTAATTGGCAAAAAGTTATTAATATTCATATGGAATTCTTTGGAAAGTGAAATGGTAACCTAGTTTTCTTTCTTGCTGAGTTGTGAATTCTTTGTTTTGGAAGTTTTCTGACCATGATTAATGATTAATAGCTGACCTCCTTAAAAAGGCCTTTCTAGCACTTAATTAAGAACCCGAAATATAATTTATACCAAGGTTAATATCCGCATAAAAACCTTACAAGTTCTACTATCCCCTTTGATGATATATATTTATAATCCCAAGTCTCAACTTACACTCCACCGCCATCGCAGAACTTTCGTGGCTTCCGCTCCTCGGCGGCTCGTCGCTGCTGTTGCTCCCGCTGATGATGCTGGTGCTGTTCCTCCTCGTCCAAGGCTGGATCAAAGTAGCTGTACTCGTTGGTCTCTATGCCCTCCGGCTGACTGCGACGAATCCTCGTGGATCCTCCGGCCGGATACGGCCTATCGATATTGTTGCTATCCAGCTGCTCCACGGGCTCATCGCGAATGATCTGCGTGACCTTGGGCAGGGTGTCATCGGCCTTGAGAACAGGCAAAGTCTTTGAAAGGAACTTCAGCGTCTGATTACGAATAAGTTCACTGTAGAAGGATGTATTTGAGATAAACGATTACCCTTGGAGAAGCCACAAGCACTTACAAGGGATAGGGTTCGTTGAGCACATTCTGACCCAGCGGATTCTTGGGAATCTGGCCCTTGTTCAAATCCCCGCAGATGTTGTGCACGGACACCGCCGACTTCTTGCCGGCGGCCACATCCTTGCAGTCGGCATTCACGTAGGTGTAAGGTGGCAGTCTGACCTTGGGCGGAACTGCATTTGGTGATTCCACAAAGGCATAGTAACCCTCCGGTGGCTGCTCCTCGCCATAGTCCGATGGCGACTGTTGGTGTTGCTGTTGCTGCTGCTGGGGCTGGGCTCGGCCCAACTGGGCCAACAGCAGAAAGCTGAGAATTTTCTAAAAAGACAGAGGAGAAAAGACAAAAGATGGTCACGCTGGTGGTGGCGGAATGTCTCGGATCTGCTGAAGGTCTGTCCGTGCACATGAGTCAGATTAATTGCCCGCATGAATGGCCAGGCATTGTCCGGACACCGGAGAAAGAAGCGATCTCTTTTTGAACCCAGACACTTTTGGTTGTTTTGTTGTTTGGCGAAAGCGCGAAAGTTTCCAAGTTTCTGTTTCTGTTGCTGTTGCCGTTGCTGTGAAGATAAACAAACGCAGCAACTGAAACCAAGTCGCCACTTTTGCATCTCTCTGCTCACTTGACCATTAATTGTTTGTCGGAACTTTCCCTGAAATTCTGGGCGAACGAAAACCCCAACGAAATCAAAAGTACCTCCCCGACGCGCACAGCTATTGAGGTCAAGTGGCGCTGCTTGGTGGGCGGATGCAGTGCAGCCGCCGAGGCTGTGGAATTTCTCTCGTTCTCTCTCTTTCGGGACTCGTGACATGGTTTACAGCGCAATTTGAATACGCCGCCGAATGAAATCCGAAATTGGGTCACTTGGCGGAGCTCGTTCTTTTGTCTTTCCCCACTAATGGGGGCCAAAAAAACAAAAAAAGAAAAGAAAAACGTACACAAAACTAGTTTGCCCTGCTCCCAAAAACGGAGTGATCCCAATTTGCATAGGTAAATATTGGTAGCCCAATTGCAGATTGAAAACCTGGCCAATGGCTGAGCTGGGAGCTTGCTATTCTTGGCCAGAACAGAACTCGTTGCGTGCCACACACCGCCACGGCTAACGGGAAAGTTGCTTTGCTCGGCACGGGAACGAGCGGAACGTTAGGCTGCTCCACAGTTAGCTTAATTCATTAGCATGCTCCAGAATCGTACGGAATCGGAATCGGGTTCGGGTTCCCAGCCAGCGCTAGTGGGTAACGTAACGGTTGTAAAGAGTGGGCCGTGATCGCCAATGTTAGCGCATTGCAAAACAAAAGACTTGGGCAACGAACTTGACTCGACTTGCGAGTGCGTCGGCACTTAGCACACCCGTAATGATGACATACCAGCACCAGGCGATAATCCATCTCCGCTCCTCTCCTCACACACTCAGTACTCGGCACTTCTCTTCTTGGTTCTTCTTCGGGTCTGCAAGCTCTTGGACTTGGCCTTCTTCTGTTCTCCTTTCCGGACCGTTCACAGTGATAGTTAAAGGCGAGCGCAGAGAACCAGACGCGTCAAGTGCAGCAACTGAACTGAGACACCAACCGAATCGCTGCAGACGTTGAACCTCCGCCGAGGTCTGCTTTTTAAGCCCCGGTCAACTGTTCCAGAGCGTGCAGAACGTTGCCGTTGAGAAAGTGGAAAGAAAGAAAGCTCTACCTTGAGTTTTGCATAGTCCAAAGAGAGAGTCAAGCTTGGAGCTGGCTTCCCTGACTCCAAGGCATACTTTCGGGCGGAAATTGATAGAGTTGGAGGGGTGTAAAAATACAAGAAATTGACGGAAGTCATCTGTTTCAAATTCATAAACATTTAATTTTACTCAATTTTCTATCAAAATTTTTATATTATTTAATAAAGTATTTCATGATGAATTGGAATATAAATAACTACTGGAAATCACTGGCTTTTTGGGCAACTAGAGTTAACTTATTAGCGTTGTCTAAGTCTATATTAAGGGAGATGGTACATGAAAAAAATTAGAGTTTAAAAAACTCATAACTAGGCCAAAAACGCATTAATTTCAATTCGGATTCATTCCTATGTTAGCTTTTATCATATTAATAAATCTGCATACTCAGTTTAACATTTAAAGAGGTTCAATTTTTATCGAATTTTTGGCTATTTTAAATTTCTAAAATTTGGAAAATTCTGAAAAAAATAGATTTCGATCAGACATAGCTGGATCGACTCTCCTGTTAATGCTGATCAAGAATATATATGATTTATAGGGTCGGAAATGACTTCTTCGCAGCGTAACAAGCTTCAGAAACAAATTAGAATACCATTTTATTGTCAATATTTATTTATATTATCATACCACAATTTGATCGACCAAAGCTTAAAAAATTCATAACTAAGCCAAAAATGCATTAATTTTAATTCGGAAGGCTTTCC